ACTGACTGACTTGCCAGCTTTATGGCAGATGGTGAAGGTGATCAGCTCATGGTCATTGACACCCAGCTTCCCTTCGATCACTAGGTCGCCGATTAGGTCCTCCCCAGTTGCCAGCACAAGGTTGAGCAGTGCTTTACCTCTCATTGGCCCATAGACTTTCTGCGTCAGATAGAGGTCATTCACGCACAAGAGAAAGCTTTGCGACTGCTCAGATTTGGCTGAGTGCTCCTCCCACAAGATGTCTGGGTAGTTAAAGTCTCCCATGACAACCATGCACTGGGAGCGTGCAGCCTCAGCCAATTCCCCAGCAAACTCCTGGTCAAGGTCTTCACCCTGGTTAGGGGGTGGTAGACTCCCACCATAGTATCCCCTGTGCCATGTTCCCCACAGATTTTTACCCAGAGGATCTCAAGTCATCCACTGTGGGTGCCAATGTCAGCTTGCAGGGATGTTTAGCTTTCCTTGACATAGAAAGCTACACTCCCTCCCCTTTTGTCCACTTGATCCCTCCTGTACAGGGTATAGCCATCTATACCTGTGGCCCAGTCATGGGTGGGGTTCCACTGGGTCTCTGTTATCCCTATGACATCACAGTTATTTGCGTTTAGCAGGAGGACAAGTTCCTCCTGTTTATTCCCCAAGCTCCTGGCATTTGTATATAGGCAGACAAGTGTCCTCTTGGGGGCCCTTGCCTTGGCTACAGTTTGTTCCAGGGCTGGGGCAAGGATGGGTTCCCTTAAGTGTCTTGGCCTGCCGGCTTTGCAAGGGTTGCTCAGCGGGCCAGCAACGGCAGTAGTCCCCCCATCCTCTGGCAGCCTTACTTCAATAATTTGTTAGTTCACTAATTTACTTCAATAGGTTTCACTTGCACTTTTTGTGGACGTTTAACAGTCCCCACAACATTCACATGATTGAGCTTACTAGAACACATACACCTGGAAAGTGAAGTTTATACACTCTAACGACTGCAGAAAATGAACTAAAAATTCATGTCATGAAATCATTTACACCACAATGTCAATAAGAGTTATGTCCATCTAGTCACAAAATACTAGAATATGATCAATATGATGGATTAGTCAGAACTAAGGCAAGTATTACAATTTCTGACTTTGGGATGTGAAAAATAATCAATTATTTATGAAACATGACAGATAGATTATAGCTTCAGATTTATTCTTTTTTTTCAAAACTATTTATGGGGATTTTGCAGATTTTAGGACTAAAGGACATAGACGAATTACTAAACAATTACCCTTTCATTCAGCTCTAGCTTAAAAGTATCTAACAGAATCCCTTTAAGGAAAAAATGTATACAACATCATACATAATGGGAAAAGGAATCATTGGTAAGCATTTAAAAACAAAGAATTAAGTGATAAGAGGTTACAAAAAACACCACACAACTATACTTACTGGAAAGAACAGTAGTAAGGAAGATGTAGTCAGAAAAAGAGATGAGTCCACATTCTCCAAGGGTATAAAATATACTGTCTTCATCGGCAAACTTCTCTCGTTCCTGGGATAACTTCTATATTATATAGCCAACCCATACCACCAAAGGAAAAAAATAAAAGAATCAATTAAAAACATAGAAACAGAAAGAGGTATTATTATGGAATTTTCATCAATACACTTTTTCATGAACACATCTGTACTACTATTTAAATACAATGGACCATTTCCAGCCTTCAAATCTATCAGAAGCAGTTTGTGAAGATCAGTGTGTTTTTATTTCAAAGAAAGTATAGTAAGAAATTGGACAATTTTTTAACAATTTTAGCTTACTACATGTATACATAGAGATATCAACACATGATGTGGCTTTTGTTTAGGTCCGTCTGATTTTTCCAGAGAACGTACTATACAGATTTCTTCAATGTAAAATTCAGAATGGCACTCTGGACGTTTTCTATGAAAGCAGTAGTCTAGTTTAACAAAAGTTTAGATAAACTAATTTGATTTGAATGATCTGAAATAACTAAATATTGTTACCAGAAGACTTAATTATTAAAAAACTTTATTGTAACACTATCATTTCCTTGGTAAAGTCAACTAGATGAGTCTGAATCCTTGTACCACTTCGGAATCTTTTTGGTACCTTGATACTTTCCGATTGGGAAAACATGTATTACATGTATATTGTCCCCTGATCTCCTTGCTATCTGAAAGCCAGTGGATAGACTAATCCACTGAAGCTTTAAAGACTGAAAAGGATCCACAAAACTGTGTTAGAAGCCAAGTACTGAAGTTCATACTGGTGAACTATTTGAAAAATATTAGAAGACACACGCACGCACACACACGCACTTACGGAAAATGTTTACTATAAAAAGACTAAGTGCAGTTGAGATTAATCTGTATAAATTCATGCAAGCATAGAAGCAAGGGACAATGCAAGCTTAAGGACAGTATTTGGAAGCAACACCAAACACCACACGAGGGTCCAGCTATACACTGTCCCCCATTGTTACCTCTGTCTAGTGATGATCCAATCATATACAAAGACAAAGGAAAGAAAACTGGTTAACCAATGACAAAATAAAGCACATAAAACATCAAAATGATGTTAGATTTGCAAAAGCAAGAAAGATTTGGAACAAGGTAGATGCTGTGATTATACATTACTAAGAAGTCTAGGTATGAATCCCAGCAGGAGTTAGCTTTTAGTCTCTAAAGTACAGACCCATCATCTACAGCTAATGTCTCATTCATCTGGTTTTTGAGAGAACTCGCCATTCTACTTGACAGCAGATTGGGGATTAGTTCATCTAATAATTTAAATGAAAATTTAAGCAGTATCTGGCTTGGAAACCACAAGAGAAAAAAAAATCATATTGATCAGCAAGTACACAACTTCCAGTGAAGTTCAGCTCTATTGATCAAATACAACTTGTAGTAATTGCTCCTTCTTTTAGACATGGGTCTGTTAAGAATCTGAAGTGAGGTAAACCACTGGCAGCAGCAGAAAGTATCAATGCTTTGCACAAGAAAATGACAATTCACATTCAGTGGGCATCAGGCTGTAGATTCTTTCCATGAAGTATTTTGGCCATCTTTTGCAACAAAATAGATCTGCACAAAATTTATGTATAAATATCTGTACAGCACTTGTCTTTAACATGATTAGCAAACAACATTTATTATCCAAAGAAACTATTCTGTTGAGAGTCAGTGATTTTCAGTCTTTTCTTGCATTACGCCAATTGCTGTAATTTCAGCTGTATATCGCACTCCCACGTGTTACTGAATGGCTTTGCTTTGTCTTTATCTCCATAGTTTGCAACACAGTAAGCCACTTACTAGCACATAGATAACCTACTCTGTAAATATTTCATATTTAACAGACATCATTAAATGTGGGATGTGGTTGATTTAATCTTCATGGGGTGTATGCATTTAAAACTGTTCTTTAATTCTTAATGGCTGGAAAAGTTCCCTATAAAATTAAAAAAAATAATGTCAATGAACTAAAACACCCAAAACTGAGCTCTGTTTTCTGAAACAAAAGAGTTGTATGCAGTATTTAAAAGTATTCTCCCACTCAATTTTTTCGTACAGCAAGCAACAAAAATATCTTTATTTTTAAATAATTATACTGGTAGTCACAGAGGCACAAACCTGGGAAATCTAAATACACAGTACCACAATGAGGTCTAGAAAATGGCAGTTATCACATAAATTTGAATAGAAGCAAAAGCAGAGCCAATTTGCTAGAAAAGTAACTTTGCATGATGATCTGTTCAGAATTTGCTATCACAGTTTGAGGAGATATTCTTTTAATTTTCTATATTATATCACATTTTTATATACACACATCTTTATATAGAAACCATGGTCCAACAAGGATTTTACTGGGCCTTTTGGCTTTGTTCCTTTACCCATTCAAAGGGTAATAAAATTGAGTTTCATTATTAATTCTAGAATAACTCAGGTTAGAAAAAAAATCAAAATGGATTGGTTATACCACTGAAATTTTGTAGAGACTAATATTCAAGGCATAATTTCCATAGCTAGGTCTCTACATATCTTTTAAGCAATATCTTTTCTGCAGGCTTTTTTCTAAGATTTCAGCTAAAAGGTTAACATCAGGAATGAAAGAATAAGAAACAGTGTTACAAATTTTGAAAAAAGCAAGCAATGTTAGATTTAAGCCGCTTCAGTAAACCTAAAAACCGCAAGTTAGCTTTACAATTCCATGATTAGTTTATCTGTACAATTTCAGTATAACCTTCACATTTCATGCCCTTTTGTATCTGAATGCAAGCTAATTTTCAGAGAGAGATACTTGACTTAAAAATTATTAAATCAAAGCTTTTCAAACAGCCTACAAAAACATTCACCGTTGCATTTATTTTTGAATCTCAAAAACAGAGTAACCAGTTAAGATCATCCAGCATTGCCTAAAGAACATTCAGAATGTAGCATTCAAATTAGCAATCCACTGTAAAAACAATCTTTATCAAGCCATGAAATCATATTAGATGAACACAATCTCTCTCACACACACACACACACACACACACACTTGCACACAAATATAAAAGTCCAATATATCATTATTTCAATAAAAACGTAACTATATATATTCACTAAAGAGGTATCAAGCTGAGTAGAATGACGTCTAAGAACAAAATTCAGATCATAAGTCAATTTTACACATATTACCCACCATCAACCATGAACAGAAAGGTTTAGCTACATTTCAAAATACAGTCCATTCCTTATAATTGACGCTAAAACTGCAAGTCAATCTACGAATCGAATTTAAATCTAAAGAATAAAAGAAGTAGTCATCTTAAGGCAACAACTGAAACTGATGCATGTGCTTGCTATCCAACATGCTATGGTGTACTGCAATAAAAGCTACATAATAAAACACCAGAAAAGCAATTCCATTATTTAGCCAGAAATCCAAAGTCATCATAATGGTAGTGTTTTCCCTTATGGAAAACACAGAAAAAATATGTAAATTGGTTCCCACCCCCTTACTGTATCAAAAATCTGAGCAAATGGAAAGTCAAAAAGTGTTTACTTTTCTTATGAGCTCAGCTAAAATGAACTAATACAAAAGGAGGAGGACAGGCATAATTTTTTTACACTTTTTTAAAAAAAAAGAGTTTTCCAAATTTTAGTTCTTAAATATATACATTACAAGCAAGTTCAGACTCAAAAAAAGTAATATTCCAGCTTCTCCAAATATTCTGCCAATATACCCGAATGCTGATTTGCAAAACACCTAGTATCCATTCCTGATCTTTTAAATCAAACACTGCCAAATAAACAGGACAGTTCTGAGTTGTAGACAAGTGCATGTTACTTAAACCAAATCTGAAGGCATCCAGAATTTTTTTCAAGTGTTATAGAAGAAGGGGGATGGGGAAAAAAGTTGCAGTATTTGGAATCTCTTGGCTAATTCTGCCCAAAGCAAGCATCTCTATTGCCATCCTGTTGGAATGCTAGTGAAGATGCAGTAAGAGATCCCAGTGCTCTGGATATCGCAAGGTGTCAATTATGGTTAACAGATCAAAGCAGACACTAGATCTGTTTATAACTCAATTAAGCAAACTGGATAAAGGATATAGGTTTACAAATTAATGTATTAGGTATATTCTCAGAAATTTATATGAATTTCAATGTTGATTTTATTCAAAGCCACTAACATACATTTTTTTTTAAAAAAAGCTCATCTAAACCTGGCAGTACCATTTTATTTTGCACTTCAAAAACTACTTAATGAACAGCATTTAATATGCAGCTTTTAAAAGGAAGTATTTTTGGCAAGTCATTTAAAGATGACAGTTTGAATTTCAGTGGGCGGGGGGGGGAAGAGCCACACATTTAGCAATTTTGCCCATGCAATTAATACTTATGTTTCAATACCCACTTTGTGCATATATGCATCAAAGCTTCAGGAAGTTCTCCATCTTAAGCAATCACTTCACAAACCTTCCGTCCTCTTCCAAAATAACAGAAGCACAGTGCACATAATAAAATGGATAATTTAAACCAAAATTAGGAAGTATTTTGCAAATTAATTAGACTGTAGTTTAACTTCAAGTATTCTTTACTATAGCTTTTCAGATGTTTTGTTCTTCTAAATTCCATAAAGTTATAAAAAAACTCTGTAACCATATATGAACTACGAATGCTTAAGAAACCCGTAAATTTTACCTTGCTGTAAGGCAATTCTCTTTCAGGCCCAACTGACCACCTTCAGTTCTATGAACTACTCAAAATGCACACACTGAAATATACATTTTCATGGCTACAGGTATGAATATTTTTGTTTAGAGCTTACAAAAACCAAGATGTCGTTTAATGAGTCACCACTTAATGTCTCTGAAATTGCATATAATCAATGTCAACGACTGAAATAGCTTTCTTTTAAAGCTAGTAAATGCATATATGCACACAATTATACATATGTACCATGCAAAATTAGTCTTCCTGGGATGTTGCATGGTACATAATTTCCCTAAGCCTGTGTCTCTTTAAACAAGATAAACAGCTGGAGATCCTACAGTGGATACACCTAGACTAGGAACTAGGTCATGTTTTAAATCTTGTTAGTCAACACATTTTAATTAATACACTTTTAAATGTCACATAGCATCTAACTTAGACAAGGTTTGCCACCTTTAAAAACCTGAGCTGGTCATGGTTAACCTCTCTGTGCTAAACAATGTTTAAAAAGGTGCCAGTATGAACCTATTTTTCTAATCTTGCTAGAGCTTGCACAAATGTATCCTGTTAACCCAAACCAGTAAAACTCTTTCAGAGCTAGTGCAGTCTAAGATCTAAGAAAAATTATACTGATACAGTCTTATAAAAAGTGAGCAGGTATTCTGCAACAGTGCATCCTTCAGAAAGAATATATTAGCAGGAAAACCCTATGCAGTTCAAAGGATGATACACACTGTAGTTATGTTTACTAATATTAATACCTCAGACTTACATTTGTATAAACAGCCTTGCCTTGGCACCTGACTATCCAATTAATACAGCCATTACAAACAAAAGAAATATTTCAGAACCAGATCTCTGATGTAGAACCCCATAATTCATGATGTAAAAAAGATCTAAAGAGTAAGAACTGGAGAGCCAGGTCCTGCAGAGCACTCTAAACAAGAACAACAAAATTCCAGGGTTTTTTTCCTTATAGCAACCCTAAAGATCTCATTTCACCCTCCTGACACATGTGGATAGAATCATTTTTTTATATAATAAATCAGAATACTGTTCCTCAGCTTAAGTTGTTTATGGAGCATTTCACTGGATAATTCTTTTTTGCAGTTAAATTAAGCTTCTGTTAATTATGGAATAATTTGCAACACCACTAGTTAAATCTAGAACATACATGGCGAGTCTACATATTAAATACAGGCAAATACAAACAAGGTCTGAATGTCAAATTGAGAGGTATCAGAATATTAAAAAGTAGGTTGGCAATGTTAAGAAAATACCTACATCTTTACCTGTTTTAGGGCACCCTTCCCACCCAAAATAAATATGGTTTATGACCCTTTAAGTAGTGTATCTTGAAGATTTTAAAATAAATCTTTAGTCATTAAGCTACATCCAAGTAGGAGTATAAAACCTCTCTTTATACTGATTTCCACTAAATTTGAATTCAGACACTTTCAGGAGAATTAAGAGTTAAGCAGCAACTATTACTATTGGTGGTCTCCCAAGACTGGAAAGAGAAATTTACATATACTGTCCACAGCAGCACAGTAACTATCCATCATCGAAAAACAAACTGCACCTGAAATGCAAGGCCAGCATTCTACAGTCAGAAG